AAAATCAAAAGATCATAAAAAATGAACAGAAAATCCAGGAAGTGGAAAATAAAACTGAAGACATTGACAAAAAGGTGGAAATGTTATTGCAGAAGAATGAAAGACTGGAACAAACAAATCAAGAGCTAGAACGGGCTATGGCAATGGTAGAAATGAGAGAAGTGGAACATTATTTGCGGTTTCAAAATATTCCTGAAGATAGTGAAGAAAGTATAGAAAAGGTGATTATTGAGCTGTTGGCAGAACTTTTAAATGCAGACCAAGTAGACATTCAGAATGAGACCGATCAAATATTCCGTATGAATTCAAGCTATGCAAGAAAAAAAAGATTACCAAGAGAAGCGCACATGAGGTTCATGAATATAAATAAAATTTTACAATATAAAAATAAAGAAACTGTGGTCCTAAAACAGATACCCAAGAGAGTAAGGAATACCCGGAGACACTACCATTTTCTAACTACAAAATTGATTGCCAAAGGCATAAATTTCAGATGGCTAATGCCAGAAGGTATTTTAATAAACTGGAATAATACAAGATATCGACTGGACACAATTTGGAAAGCAGAAGACTTTGAAGTAAGAAATAGAGTAATTTTGGATGAAGGATTGTATCAACAACAAGAGGATAAGCAGATGGGAGAGACAGCCCAAGGAGCAACGGCACAAGCAGAGCAACAGAAGGAGAAAGGTGAACAAATAGGTGAAGGAGAAGGAACTGCCAAAGAGGAAATGAGAAAAAAATGAATTTTTTCGGTAAATGTAAATGGATTAAAATCCCCAATAAAAAGAAATAAAATTTTTAGGAAACTTCAGAAATTAAATATAGATATAATCTGTTTACAAGAGACACACATAAAAAAACAACATTCAAATTGTTGGAATACCCGAAAATGGGGAAGCTTCATTATACATCAGCATAACAAAAGAAACGAGGGGTGGTGGTATACGTTAAAGAGACAATAGATTCTAAATTAATATATTCAGATGAAGAAGGAAGAATTGTAATGGTTGAAATATATTTACATCAAAAACAGATACTGTTAGTGGCAATTTATGCCCCAAATGATAGTCAAGAACAATTTTATCAAAGATTACACAGGAAATTAATAGAAATGGAATACCAAAATATTTGTTTAATAGGAGACTTTAATGTGATAGTAAATGGAACAATGGATTACAAAAGTAGCAAAACAGGAAAACCCGTAAGAAGAAGACACATTCTTTGATATGGCAGAAGAAATTAGAATACAATATGTCTGGAGAAAAACCAATCCTCAAAATCAACAATATACCTTTTACTCAAATAGCCATAAATCTTGGTCAAGAATTGACATGATTTGAATGACTTCTGAATTAAAGATGGATATACAGGAAATTGAGATAGAAATAGGCACATGGGCAGATCACAACCCTTTAAAAGCGACATGGAAAGGAATACAAAAAAACCCAAGATGGATTTTAAATCAATCTATACTAAAAGACAAAGAATTCATAGAGTTGGCAAAAAGAGAAATGGAATTCTTCTCTAAAGAAAATAAAGAAGATACATCACTACAAAATGTATGGGATACAGCTAAAGCATATTTTAGAGATATAGCTATAACGTATATGGCAAAGAAAAATAAACAGAGAAGACAGCAATATTTATTATTAAAAGAAAAATTTAGAAAGTTAGAGACAGAATTACAAAATCCATAGAAAAAGACTTTGAAAAGAGAAATGGAAATAATAAAACATAAGCTGAATTTGTTGGACTCAGAAAAAATGGTGGAACAAATAGAGCAAAACAAAAAAATTTCAAAAATGCTTATAAGCCAGGAAGATGGCTAGCTTATAAGCTCAAAAAAGAGAAAGAGAAGAAAATAATACATAATTTAGTAGATGGGAAAGGTTGTTTACAATTTAAAAAGGAAGAAATAAAAAAGATAATTAAGAAATATTATGAAGAATTGCATGGTAAAGAGGAGGCTGCAAGAGAGAGAATTGCTCAATATCTAGAAGAAGTAAATTGCCAAAAATTCCAGAGACATTCAAAACTATGTTAGAAGAAAGAATAACAATGATGGAGATATTAGAGGCTATAAAACGACAAAAGAATGGAAAAACACCAGACCCAGATGGGCTACCAGCGGAACTTTATAAAAATCTACAAGATACATTAAGTGAACGACTGAAAAATGTTTGTAATGGACTATTGTTAGTGGCCAAACTTCCAAATACATGAATAGAAGCAAATCTTACCTTGATACCAAAATAAAATTCAGACTTGATATATATTAAGAACTATAGACCGATTTCATTACTCAATGTGGATTACAAAATTTTTACTTCAATAATGGCAGAGAGATTGAAAAAATACTTAGTTGAATTTATACACCCAGATCAAAACGGCTTTTTACCGAAGAGACAAATTAAAAACAATTTAAGGGTGATAATGGACGTATTAGAATATTATGAATTACACCCAGGAAAACAATTAGCACTAGTGTTTTCAGATGTCCAAAAAGCGTTTGATAACGTTTCCTGGCAGTTTACGGTTCAGCAATTACAAATAATGAATTTTGGAAAGAATTTTACAAATATGATAAAAACAATATATAGCAACCAGATAGCAAAAGTGATAGTGAATGGAGATTATACTGAGAGCTTTGAGATAAGAAAAGGTACAAGACAAGGGTGTCCACTATCTCCATTATTATTTATCTTTACTTTGGAAGTACTAAATAGAACAATAAGACAGGACACAGAAATTAAAGGATTGAAAATAAAAGATGAAACATATAAGTTATACAAGCATTTGCTGATGATTTAGTGTTTATCTTGGAAGAACCTTTAGAGATGATTCCTAAACTATGGGGAAAGATAGAAGAATATGGAGAAATGGCAGGACTAAAAATAAATAAAGAAAAAACTAAAGTAATAGTAAAGAACCTCACAGATAAACAAAAAAGGCAAATACTAGAGAAACAGAGGTACAAATAGTGAAAAAAGTTAAATATTTAGGTATTCATCTTTCGGCTAAGTGTTCGTCAATAAAAGAAGACAATTATACAAAATTATTGAAGCAAATAAAGCTAGACTTGGAAAGATGGAAAAATCTGCAGCTGTCAATATTAGGAAGAATTGCTACAGTAAAAATGAATGTGTTGCCGAAAATTTTATTTCTATTTCAAACGATTCTGATAAAACTTGAGAGAAAATTCTTTCAAGATTTAAATTTTAATAGTTTTAAACTTTATTTGGCAGGGGGGAAAAGCTAGAATTAAGATGAAAACATTACAAGATGCTAAGGAAAATGGAGGTTTTGGGTTGCCGGAATGGACGTTGTATTACCAAGTATCTGTGTTAACATGGGTGAAAGAGTGGATAACACTTAAAAATAAACAGTTACTGTATTTAGAGGGACATGATTTATAATTGGGGTGGCACGCTTTCTTATGGTATGGGAAAAACAGAGTCCTTAAGTACTTTCAAAATCATTTTATAAGAAATACCCTGTCAACAGTATGGGAAAAAATTAAAGCTAAAATATATTTAAAAATTCCAGGGTGGTTATCAACGATGGAGGCGTTTATACATCTGAACTTGACAGACTTTGAAAAAATATGGACATATAAAGATATTCTAGATATTGATGGGAATTAAAATCTAAACAAGAACTGGAAAATCAGGGAATTAACTTGATCTTATGGGCACATTTACAGATACAAAGTAGATATGAAAAAGATATAAAAATGTATGGATTTTATAAGGATCAAACTGTGTTTGATAAGATTTTGTTAACCTCAGATGAGAAATTAATCAAGAAAATGTATAACTTTTTGTTAATTTTGGATATGGAAAGTGAACAAGTGAAAGAACAATGACAAGATGAGCAAAAAAATTTTGCTATAATATAGAATTAGAAAAATGGCAAATGTTATGGGAGAGAAACTACAAATTAACAATGTCAACCTCATACAAAGAAAATTTGTATAAAATGTTTTATAGAAGGCATCTGCCGCCAGCAAGATTAGCAAAAATGTTTAAAAATATGTCAGATAGATGTTGGAAATGTAAACATAACATAGGCACGTATTATCACATTTGGTGGACAGGTGGTAAGGCAAAGGCCTATTGGAGAAAGATACATATGTGGTTAGAAAAAATATTGGGTGAACAAGTGGATTTTAAACCTGAACATTTTTTACCTGAAAAGACTAATAAGCAGAAATTGTATTTAATCTTACACATTACTACATCAGCAAGAATAATTTTTGCACAATACTGGAAGAATGAAGGACTGCCATCAGAAGAAGAAATAATCAGGAAAATATTGGAATGTGCAGAGATGGATAGATTAACCATGAGGTTGAAAGATAAAGAAGATACAGACTACTATCAAATTTGGAACCTATTTTATTCTTGGCTAGAGGAAAGAATGAAGGATTAGGAATTGAACATGTATTAGCATAGCAAACTCCAGACAACTTGTTGATTGGAAAAATTAACATATGTTGATGAAAAAAATCAATAAAATCTTTAATCAAAAAAAAGACTGCAAATCTTGATCATGTGATTGCAGGATGATGCAACCATCACAAATGTGAGACAGTTGACCGGTGCCCAAATTGTGATCACATAACCGAGAATGGTATAATGGTTGCATGGGTTGTAAGTCACTTTTTTCACCAAAAGTGTAACTTCAAATTGTGATTAAAAGAATGGCCATAAATTAAGAACTACCTGCAGATTTATACCTGGCTTTTATTTTTAACAACTCAAGCTGACACACATAATGCTTCTTATTTGCTCCCCAACAACACTTTCCATACTTAAAGGAGGATTACAGCTTAGACTATAGTCCAGCACTTTTACTAGACTAAACTTTTTTTTTTTTTTTTTGGTAGCCCAATCCAAATCCAAATCTATTGTACATGCAAGAATCACCCCACCCCCACATTTTGGATACCTATAACCATCACCATCAGTGATGAATCAATCCAGGCCAGACATTACCTGAGTGAGGTTCAAGGACAACAGTATTAAGCCTGTTCGTTCTGTACTTCAAAATCAGTTGAGGCATTTTTTGCTCCAAAAATTCCACTGTGTCTTTGTGGCCCAGGGCAATGCTGATATTCTCAAGATCAATTCCTTCTTCTGCCAGCAAGAAGTCTTGCAATTTCTTAACTCTCAGGCCCGTCTTATACCTGTTTATGAGAGCAGTGAGTGATGCTATGACTTCATTCAGTACTGCTGAAAAGGAGAGAAAATGTGTAGACAGACATGAAGCTCAGAAAAACCATGGAGAACAAGCTAATACAGCAAACCAGTTCAAGAATACCACAATGACCATATTCACACATCACACTATAATGTTGGTACAGGAAAAAAAAACCCTGGGCTGAGAAGAACTTCACAATGTCACTATAAATTGTTCTGAATGGAGTAGTGAGGAACAGTTTTAAAATAAGATTATGCATATTCACGCTCATCAAGAGTTACACACCAAAATGGCAATATGCAGGCTCTAAAATGGAACAGAACTGCTGTGGAACATCAGCAAGAGAATGGAATAATCAGATCCATGGATTATATTGTAATAAAGAAAATGAACTACGGCTGATGGTGCTTAATAGCTGTTGATTTGGCTGAAAATGGTGATATGGCTGAGGATGGTGAGGGCTGATCCAGCAAAATCCAAATTGGTGCCTTCTAGATGTTTTGGGACTACAACTGTAGAAAATTCTCTGAAGTATGCTAGCAAAGAATTCTGAAATTCTAATTCCGACATAACCTTAGGATACACAATAGAAAAAGCTGTTCTACTCTACCTGAAGAAAAACAGATGTAGGGCTATATGAACTCATTCTGCCCTATAAACATGCAGTTCTACACCAAATTTCTTTTAATGAACCACATTCATTGTAAAAAGGGATATGCACACGACTGAACTGAGAATAACCATAGGCAATAACAATTATAGCCAGATTCAGAAAAAAGATGACAAATAAGCCTTAATTTATGACCACAAAAAGGAATTCAGTCATTAAGCAATGTGTTTGGTAAGTGAATCATTATATGACCAGACCCAATTTTTACCATGGTGGTTAAGTGAATGATGCTAGTTGTTAAGAGAATCAGATGGTCATCAAAGAAATCCAGCTTCCTTCATTGGCTTTGTCAGAAGCCAATGAAGAATGCAAATCATGATCATGTAACTACACAATTCTGCAACCATCACAAATGCAAGAGAATTACAGGTACCTAAATTGTGATCACATAACCGAGAGAGTGGTATGATGACTTCAAAGATGGGTTGTAAGTCACCATCTTTTTCATAAACAGTACAACTTCAAATCATTATTAAAAGAATGGTCATAAATGAAGGACCACCTGCAGATTTATACTGGGCTTTTATTTTTTTAAAACTCACATTGGCACGCATAATATTACCTATTTGCTCCATAACAACACTGTGAGCTAGCTTAATCTCGGAGAAAGTCTTTGGCCAGTTTCCATACCTGAAGGAGGATTACAGCTTAGACTGTAGCCCAGCACTTTTACTAGACCAAACTTTTTTCATTTTGTAACCCAATCCAAATCCAAATCCTCTAAATGTGTTGTGCATGCAAGACTCACCCCCCCCCCACACACACACATTATGGATGCCAATAATCATCACCAGAAGTGATGGATCTATCCAGGCCACACATTACCTGAGTGGGGTTCAACAACAACAGTATTAAGCCTATTCGTTCTATGGTGCATCAAAAGTTGAGGCATCTTTTGTTCCAAAAATTCAACTGTGTCTTTATGGCCCTGGGCAATACTGAACTTCTCAAGATCAATTCCTTCTTTTGCCAGCAAGAAGTCTTGCAGTTTCTTAACTCTCAGGCCCGCTGTATACTTGCTTAAGAGGGCAGTGAGTGATGTCATCACTTCACTCAGTGCTGTTGAAGAGAAAATATATAGACTGATATACAGGTCAGAAAAGCCATGGAAAACAAACTAATACATTAAACCAATCCAAAAATACCACAATGGCTGTATTTACACATAATAAAAATAATTAGGGATCCCATCTTAATCAATAATTATATGCATGTGTTTGCTAGTGTTGAACCTAACATTGATTCAACTAAACAAACCATGATATACTTTTCTGAAAAGTGCAAAACAAGGTATTATGCCAAGAATAGCAAAGCAAATAAGATTCAAATCAACAACCCTAAGCCTACTTACTAGGCCTCTGGTTAGATGTATATACTGTATTAAGTCATAGTATGATTTGCTAGATTTTAGTTCAGCATAATAAAGCACAATATGATATGTGAACTAGTTCATCAGGTGTGTTTGAAGACCATGGTTAAAACAGCCTATATAAACACACATAAATCATAACCAACGGCTCACTGCTTGAAAGTGAATGAATCCCATTTTTCTATATCCACCTCTAGAAAGAAAGAACTAAACAAAAACATCATCACTTATTTGTTCAGAAGAGCTTATTTATTCTGTGGTTTATGATGTCTTGATCCTTATTTTAGCACTGTTTGTACTTGGACAGAGTGTTCCACATTTGAAGGGAATAAGCAGTAAGGAAAAAGGCAAATTCTTTTACAAAAAATTGATAATGTATAAATTTTCTAATTTGTCTTTTTTCCGAGACATTCAAAAGATATTTTTAAAATATATTATTCCTTTAATTTTACAAGTTTATCAACTTCCTGAAAAGGATACCACGCAATTATACTCATTTCTAAGCCTTATTTAATCTACTTATTTCCATTCTGGTATCCTCCAATAGGGTTAGATCCCTATCATGGGTCCTAGCATACATTAATAGTAATATTAGAATTTTAGATTAATAAACTAATGTACACTAGACGAGGGAAGGCTGTTTAAATCAATGTTGATATTCCCATTTTCAAGCAGGGCTGCACAGATATCCTACATTCATAATTTTCTCATAAACTGAATTATCTTGGAATATTTATGTACAAATAACCACATCAAAACTAGCAAAGAAAATGAGTTATCAGCAAAGCTGATCCAAAAAAAACCAACAACCCTGGGCTAAGCAGGAGCTTCACAATGTCATTATAAATTGTTCTGAATGAAGTAGGAACATTTTAAAAGATTAGGCATTTTAAAAGATTAAGATTAGAGCTGCACACCAAAGTGCCAATATTTAGACTCTAGAATGGAATAGAACTTGTAATTGCTCTAAATAGCAGAAAGAAAAGTCCATTGTATAGAATAATCAGGTCCACTGATCCACTGTAGTAAGGAAAATGGTGAACTATGGCTAATGGTGGGGACAGCTGTTGATATGGCTGAAGATGCTGATGGCTGCTAATATGATCCAACAAAATTCAAATTGGCACCTTCTAGATATGTTTTGGAACTACAACTCGAAAAAATTGTCTGAAATATGGTAGCAAAGAATTCTGAAATCCTATTCCAACACACCTTAAGATAGCAGAGTAGAAAAAGTTGTTCTACTCTACCTACAGAAAACAGCTATAGGATTACATGAACCTATTCTGCCCTATAAACTTGGAGTTATATACCAACTTTTTTTAAATAAATCACACTCATTATGAGAAGGACTATGCACATGATGGACTGAGAGTAACCATGTGCAGTATCAATTATAGCTGATGCAGAAAAAGATGAAGGCTCTAGTTGGTTGACAAGAAGGCTTCTCATAATGATATTAAGGACCCATTTTCACAGAAATGTATCACTTCGTCTAACATTTCCTGATCCTCTAAGCCTGGTTCCCATTGTTCCCAAAATTTCAAAATCAAATAGAAATTTACCAGGCTTCTTTTCAGATTTGAATTGGTTTGAAATTTTTGATGTGCAGGTAGACTGATCTGAGTCAGAAGTGAAAGAAGAGCTGGACTGGGATGAAGAGCATCTGAAGGAAGCTAGAATAGTAGAAACGTAGGAGGAAAATGTGAGAACATTCAGAATAATAAATCTGGCAAAATCTCCAACTGCAGATTCTCAGCTACAATAGTTGGTAGACAGGATGAGATGAATAAGATTTACTATTTACTCAGTTCAACAACTGAAACCTCACTCCATCTTCACAATCTGGGTAATATGGAAGACCATGTTCTCTGTCCTTCTCAATTATTCTTCCCTCCAGATAAATGTAAACCACCAGTGGCAGAATTTCCAATCATTAAAAAAGGTAAAGATTTCCCGTCCACTCATGTCTGACTCTAAGGGACAGTGCTCATTTCTGTTTCTTGGCCGAGGAAGCCAATATTTGTCCGACTTTTGTAGTCATGTAGCCAGCATGATTATACACTGAGGCACATGGAACTTCCCACTGAAGTGGTTCCTATTTATCCCTTCATATTTGTATGCTTTTGAATTGTTAGGTTGGCAGGAGCTGGGGCAAATAACCGGCGCTTACCCTGTCACATGGTGCTCGGGTCTCAAATCCAGGCGGACAAGCTTTCCAGCTGACAAATTCAGCGCCATCACACCCCATTTTCCAATCATTATGGGAATTTACTAACAGATTCCAACTAATTTTTCAGTGAATCCAAAGCCCAAAAAATCTATTGTGTGCAGTCATATGTCCACATTTTTGTCCGCATTTTTCCCAACACTTTATTTTTCTATACTACTCTATACAGCAAATAGAAACTCTGTCATTTTCTAAGATAGCACCCCATCATACTATTTTTCCTCTATAAAATTCTCCCTGGCTTTCTTTTACCTCAAATGGAGAAGAAAGAATGTGGGAAGCAGGGAAGAGATTATTCATTGGATTTTATAGATAATCCTTAATTTAGGACAAATAGGATCAGAATTTAGTCACGAACCAGCGTGGTTGGTAAGTGAGACATGGTGTAATCAGATCCAATTTACAACAATTTTTACTATGGTGTTTGAGATAGTAATGACAGTTGTTAAGTGAATCAAATGGCCATTAAGCACATCTGGCTTCCTTCATTAGCTTTGCCTGTCAGAAACCAGCCGGGACGGTTTCAAATCATGATCATGTGATTGCAGGATGCTACACCCCTCACAAATATGAGACATTTGACAGGTGCACAAATTGTGATCATAAAACCTAGAGTGGAATAATGGTTGTAACTTTGAGGATGGGTTGTAAGTCACTTTTTTCACCAACAGTGTAACTTCACCTTCTGATTAAAAGAATGGTCATAAATTAAGGATCACCTGCAGATTTATATCTGGCTTTTATTTTTAACAACTCAAGTTGACCCACATAATGTTACTTATTTGCTTAGATTCAGAGAATGTGACTAGCCAGTTTTCATACTTGAAGGAGATTACAGCTTAGACCAGTGGTGGTGAACCTATGGCACGGGTACCAGAGGTGGCACTCGAAGTCCTCTCTGTGGGCACACATGCTGTTGCCCCAGCCTCGCCTCCCCCCATGACACCCTCCTCTCCAGCAGCCCCCTGAAGGAGAGTCACCCCTGAGCATGGCCCACGCGGAGCAGCACAGCCAAGGACATGGCAGCCAGGCAGAGTAGACAAGACTCTGCCCTCACACCCCATCATGTACAGTTGATCTACAGGGCTCGGGCAGAGGGTGTGACTGCCATAGCACTGCTGCGGTGCCTGGGCGATCTGCGGTGGGCCCTGGAGGCGCTGAGTGCCCTGCGGGTAGATGGGGCGGGGGATGGGAGGGTGGAGCGGGGGCAGGGTCAATTTTTGGGCACTCTGTCTCTAACAGGTTCACCATCACTGGCTTAGACTGTAGGCCAGCACTTTTACTAGACAAAACTTTTTTCTTTTTGTAGCCCAATTCAAATCCAAATACTCTACATGCAAGACTCACCCCCCCATATTATGGATACCAATAACCATCACCTGGAGTGATGGGTCTATCAAGGGGAGGCATTACCTGAGTCAAATTTAACAACACTATTAAGCCTGTTAGTTTGGTAATTCAACTTCAACTTAGGCATCTTTTGCTCCAAAAATTCCACTGTGTCTTTGTGGCCCTGGGCAATGCTGAATTTCTCAAGATCAATTCCTTCTTTTGCCAGCAAGAAGTCTTGCAATTTCTTTACTCTCAGGCCCGCCATATACTTGCTTAAGAGGGCAGTGAGTGATGTCATCACTTCACTCAGTGCTGTTGAAGAGAAAATATATAGACACACATAGAAGTCATAAAAGCTATGGAGAGCAAGCTAATACATCAAACCAAATCTAGAATACCACAATGGACATATTTACACATAACAAAAATGGTAGTTGTTAAGTGAATCAGATCAAACTTACCAGGCTTCTTTTCAGATTCATTTTGGTTTGGATTGTTTGATGTGCACATAAACTGTTCTGCATCACAAGAGGGAGAATGGCTGGATTGAAATGAAGAACAGCTGAAAGAAGCTGGAATAGAAGACAAGTAGGGGTGAAATGTATGGCAATTCAGAGTAACAAATCTGGCAAAAACAAATCCTCCAACTGTAAATTCTCAACTATACTGGAAAACCGATAGATTATGCATCACAATAAGAACATTGTCATAGAATGTGGATTTTCGGGGGGGGGGGTGGGGGGGGTTCCAAGGAGATTTAGCTAGACCTCATGCTCAGCATGGTATGAAGGAAGATTTCTGAAATGGTTTGCTTTTGCCTTCACCCTAAGCTGAGAATGAATGACTGACCAAAGTCATCCAGCTGGTTTTCTACATGAGGGCCAGAACTTGGTTTTACCCATTCCCAGCCTGGCATCTTTACTCACCATACTGAATTAGCTCATATTCCTCCACATCATTCTAATATTATAGCTTCCCTAAAATAAATTACAAGATTTCAAGTAGATTTGATTTTGTCTTGAATAATTTATTATTTATTATTATTCTTCAGAAGAACATCTATGCTACCTTGCTTATATATTTCAGAAACTGGTAGTTACAAAGGTATAAGCTTTACTTATGCCTCTTCTACTAACACTGGCTGAATTTGCTTAATATATCTCGATACTATTGTCTTTTCCACTGTGGCATCATAGTGAGTCCAGATGAACCTAATGTCCTTGGATTAGCTCACTGAAATTGTACTTCCCAGTTGTTCTGATGGCCTCAGTAAAGACTTTCTATATAAAATTATGACTCTTAATGCTTTTAAATTGTTCAGTTTAATCAAACACAAAAAGGAGAAAAAAAATCTTCAATATTTTCATTATACTTGGGCTTATGTTTCACTTTTTCTACATGTGAATGACGTAGCTATCCTTTCACAAGCATGTGAAGGATAGGTGAGCACTCAAAACACTCAATGATATCTGTTGGAAGTCCTTATTGGTAATTAAATAGCAGAAAACTGTTTTTGTTTTTGCCAAGAAACCCAAAATGAGGCACCAAAGAGAATGAAACTGATATTAAAAATTTTAGGTGTTTGGATACAGTATTCCAGTTTACAAATGACTGAAACATGTATGCTGATCATATTGCTTCACCAGCATGAAGGAATAGCATGAAGAAATACATTAGCTACTATGATTTTTATGACATTGAGCAAACCATTCCTTCCTCCTTTTGGAATACATATAGGCTAAAATTATTATTAGAAAAAGGTGGTCCATGATTTACAACTACAATTATGCTCCAAACTTCCATTGCTAAGCCAAATTAGTTGTTAAGTGAACTTTGCCCCATTTTAAGATATGGCAGTTTCAGCAGTTCCCAATTACCATCATTAAGCAAGGTTTGTTAAGCAAGGACCTCATGGGACCAAGACATCCCACTTCCTGCAGGCTTCCCCATTCACTTGGCTTGTGGGAAGCCTATAGGAAGGTCACAAATTACGATCATATGACCATGGGATTCTGCAACAGTTGGAAATGTAAGCATGTTTCTGAGCAGACTGCAACAATTCCAGAAGTTTACAGACCATTTGTAAGTACCAGTCATTCGATGCTATTGCTGAACAAGTAGTCCATTAACTGAGGACTATCTGGAAATAAATGTGTCATCTTCTATAAACATCCTGCCATTTGAGGATTCAAATCCTGGAAGCATATACCACTGATAGGCTAAACTTCAGAAAGTAATATTAGACATGCAGGATACTTGAAATACTGGCTATATAAGCTAAATTCCACTTTATTTGTAGTTCACATCCCTGTTTACTTTATTGCTATTTCCTGCCCAAATTACCTTACTCAGCATAAGCATGCTGTTTTAAATGCCTCAAAGCCACTCCATATTCATTTATCCAAACATCTGTTTGTCCATCCATCATATTTCTTACCTGACTTAAGTCGAACATGACAATTCCTGTTTTTATCCTTGTTTATTATCAGTTCAGGAATCTGCTGGAGGCAGGAAACTATGTCATCATAGCCAACCTGGTAGCAAAATACTTCCAGGTCATATCCACATTTTTTCTTCACTGCCTCTTTTATGTTTGTCAACTGTAAGCCATCAGGATATGATTGCAAGATGCTACAGATTGGCACAGATGCAACTGTTAAATCTGCAAATGAAGATAATGACTTCAACCCCATGTTATGTAACTAGTTAAGTAGTCTTGCTACAAATGAATCAATTCTGCAAGAATAGTCCATTGGAAGCTCCTAGAAATCTCCAAAAGTTGCAAATTGTAATTTCAAAGGTGCCAGAAGAATGAAATAATTCAGTGTGGAATTTGAAACAGCCACATTTACTGTATTTAAAGTTGACAAAAATTGATGAAATCAAATGAAATTTTGCTCCTGGCTTTATTCAGTACATTTTTGGGAAGCTGGCACTTTGCTTAATAACCAAAAGGCCAAATTCAGTTTCTGGAATCAAAAGAGGTGATACTTTTCCAACTAGCTTAAATTCAAGGAAGTGAAAAGGTTTTAAGGAATGGCTACAGAATCAACTGTTGGCTAGGAACTAAATAAACAAATCCACCATTTCATAAACATGCACAGATACAGTATATTCATACATTCCCCAAAACTTTTCATTGTTTCATTGAGAAATTGAGTGATGATTTTTTGAAGGATAAGAATTTGAAAGCTTCCTCTTAACAGGTATCTCATTAAGGTTAGGTATAAATGTTATCATGGATCCCAATGAATCCAGGCAAGGGTGATTTTTAGCTTTGTATCTACTGCAGAAATGTACATAAAAGAAAGAAGAAATTCACAATCATTCTGAAACTGTGAAAGTATTCCATTCCCATTTTTTTGTGATATGTTCCCTGAAAGGTAGCCCCCCTTTGGCCATTGAGAAATTATTGCTATTTAATAATACAAATATTTTTCCAGAATAAGGCTAGTTGCTGAAAGGCAAACTGAGCATTAGGATAGCAGGTTTTAAAAAAGAGGATGAAGGAGAATATTTTGTTCTATTACTTCTACTGAGGTAATAATTATTGCAACAAAGGAAAAATACTTACTTATCAATAAATAAATTTAGGTATGCATTATTAAACAGGCTCTCTAGTTTTTTTCAGAATAAAGTAAGTAACATTCTATAGGAATATTGTATTTAATGTTTTGAGAAACAGATTGTCTTCTTGTACTTTTAAGTATGACAAACCATGTCAGGGAAGTAGAAAAAATTGTCATGAGGGATCCCTGGTGCTCTTTGAGCTTGGGTAATAAAACATCTGCAACAAAACAACTAAACTAGGTAGCATTGTCAGTGTTCTGATGCACTGACGATGTTACCTTGTTTGGATAATGAAACACCTTCAAGAAATCAACCAAGCTCAGAGAGCATCCAAGAATCCCTTTTTTCAACGCTGAGCTACAAATATTTTTCTTTATTAGAACTGCCATGGCTTCTAATAAGTATTCCCTGCTATAGCAACCCAATCAGTCATGGTAGACAACAAAATAAATAGTAATAGTGTTTTCCAATGTGGGAGCTTCCAAATACATTAATTCTAAATTCCCCAAAACCAGAACAGGACGGCCACATTGAAAGTTTCCCAAGGATGTACAGCATGCTCCACGCACAAACAATTCTGAGCGCAGAACAGCTACTTTATGTGCTGTCTATATCCAGTTCAAACACCTGAGTTCGGGAAAGAGATTGTTGTTACCCAGGGATGGGGGCAAGCAAGTAGCAAAAAGCCAAGGAGATTGGTAGTAAGGGCATGCAGTAATTAAAGGGAAAGAAAGAAAAGAAAGCAATAGGAAGACAGGCCAGTTGGATAGATTGCCCTGCATTTGAGGATATCAGTTATGGCTTATGGAGATGCAGACAAAAAAAAAATGACACTGGGATGATTGGAGAGTTAGGCTGGCTAATTAAGTATGTACCATGCCTGAACCAAGAATACAATTGTTAAGGGGTAGTAGGGAAAGAAGTACACAAGTCATGGAAACGAAGAAGAATAAGGCATCCTAGCCTTGCCCAATTCACCCCATGAAAACCCTCTAGCCTTTCTCTTCTCCCATAATCTGGAAAACCAAAATGTTCTGACTCAGTTTTGCTGAGAATCCACTTGGAATATATACAGAAACTCTGGGATATAATGGATTTTATGCATTCTTTTAAAGTTACTCATATTGGGATGACCTGAGATGAGATAAATAAATAATCTAATTTCAATTAGCCAATTCCACAAGGTAACAACTGGATTAAAATCCTTTTAAGAAAAAGTTCTGGGAATTTATTTCTAACTTCAAACAAGTAGAGACAGGTGTTAAAGACAGCATGAAGATTTTTGGAAGCGTTTGGATGATGTGTGAAAGAAGATGCTGAATTTGATAAAGAGTTTAATCTTATCAATGCTATCTCTAATTATTATTGCAACATTAAATATAGAATCAAATTTTATTGATATTTTTATTTATATCAATTTTGTTAAAATAAAATTGAGATTTTGTGGCTATACCTTTAGGAAGTTGAACAACACATTTGTGAGGGATTCCTTGCCATCTGATTTTTATACCAGGTATCTGGTCATCCAAAAACATTAGGACATTCTTATAGCCTTTGGTGATGCTGAATGTCTCCAGATCAATTCCATCTTCGGAAAGCAAGATTGCCTGGAATTTCTTAATCTTCAAACCCGACTCATATTCCATTAGGAGATTGGTAATTGCTGCCAAGACTGCAGCCAGATCTACCAAATAATGCAAATCAGTGATAAAAAAAACAATCCACATCTCAATGTAGTATTTTATGTTATCAATTATTTTAGCCACGTGGTAGCGAACTTGTGGCACAGAGCCCTCTCTGTGGCATGCCTGCAATTGCCCCAGTCCTAGGCCTTCAGCTGGGTTTTATAAAACCTTTTCGCTTTAGGCCCCCACCACCATGTGCAAAAAAAAAAGGTTCAATCAATCAATCAATTTCAACTTCTCACAGGAAAAAAAAGATCTTGCAAAGTTAGGATTGAACATTTTAATCCCACCCAGTCTGCCATTACCACCGCAGCCACGCCCACCCAATGGGCTACATCGACCCAATAGGCCACATCGACCCAATGGGCCACACCCACCCAATGGGCCACACCCACCCAGCACCCTACAATACATAAGTAGGTTTTGGGTTGCAGTTTGGGTACTCAATCTCTAAAAAGTTCGCCATCATTGTCTTAGCCTGAACCTGTCTTTTCCCTGTGTTTCCATGATTCTGTGTCAATCTGCAATTAACTTGGTCATTCTTATATAAACGTTCTTAAGAAATTTGAAATCTCAATAACCAATTATCAAATAAGAGTATTATGAGTTTGAGTATTCAAACACATATATTAATTAGAAAGTAAACTTATAGAGGTAGAAACCTAGGAACATTTCTTAGTGATCTATATGTATTTAGAAAACGTAGCTCTTGTTTATCATCTAAAAAAGCTGAGAAGTATGCTAGTATTCTACATTCCATAATTTACATCAGTTATGTGGGTTCAAATAAATGTAATTTTGTAACATGAGTTATCTTCAGATGGACAAATATTTCATTTGAATAATTAGATGCAAAGGAATTGCAGAAGACTGGATAAAAGGTAAAGGTATACTTCTATGAAACTTTGCATCTAGTCATTCATTTCAATGTACTGTATGTCATACAGAGATCAAGCAATATGCCTAGTGAATAAATGAATACAGTACAGGGGCAATCTCTCAGTCCAATGCTTGGATTCTGGTCCTATTTTTCCTAACAGAGTATAAATAATCACACTAAATTTTCTAGGCTATTTGTAATTGCTTCAGTTAAATTACATTGCTGCTAAGTCATAAGACCAAGCAAAATATAAGTCTCATTCAACTTGCAATACATGTAGTTCTTGAATTACAATCATAATGGAGCCTGCCCATTACGATTGCAAATTGTAATGATTATTAAGCAAGACACCACACGATTGCCTCACTTAACAAACCTCACCCCTCCTCTACCTGATGAGGATATTAAGTGACCATGAGTCATTAAGCATAGCACTGAGTGCCTCAGAGATAGGGGGCAACAGAAGCTACCAGCATGCACAGGGTTGTTACAGCTTACAGCCCAAGATCTCCTTCTACCCAGCCACTCCGCCACACAAGAGAACCAAAAGCCACCTAGAGACCTGCAGGACTCAGCCTGCTCCTTAGCCAGCACCAGGGCCCAGCAGCACCCAGCTGATTCAAGATGCTAGTTGTCACCTTTAAAGGCCTACATGGCTTGGGACTAGGTTGTCTGAGGCAGAGCTTTTCAACCTTTTCACCCATTGTACCACTTTTAGGATATGGTAACATCCGAGTACCACCAGTCACCTAGCAAGGTGTCAAAAACCTGATGACCCCCCCAAAAAAGGAAAAAAGTGATAAAGTACAGGTAGTCCTCGACATACAACAGTTCGCTTAGTGACTGTTCAAAGTTACAATGGCACTGAAAATGTGCCCCCCAAGCCACAGCCAAGCAAGACACCTGCCTGCCCAACCGATGGCGGTCTTCCTCCTGTCCAAGGTTTTCATTTTTGTGAGCATTTCTGTTGAGGATTGGCAGCGGGGGTGGGGGATGTTTGGTTTTTATCCCCCCCCCCCCAGTCTGCTGGGTGGTTGCAGCAGGTTTTGGTCACTTCACATGATCCTGGGAGACTGTGACCATCATAACCAGTTGCCAAGCATCTGAATGTAAATCACAAGATCCTCGAGATGCTGCAACATTTCAGCTGATCGGCGCTTCTTCTGGGCTCAGCAGAAGTGCCAGGATCAGTGCTGCTTTCCAGCTGATTGGTGCTTCTTCAGGGTTCAGCAGAAGCACCAGGATCAGTGCCAAGCTCCAGCTGGAGCCTGGCGCTGATCCTGGCACTTCCACTGAGCCCTGACAGCCCCGAAGAAACGCCAGGATCAGCTGAACCCTGACAGCCCTGCAGCTCCAGCCATCTCTCACTCAGGCTTGTGCAGTGCTGCCACCTGTTCAGCTCATTCTCCTCCCCCACTACCACTTTTCTAGGATGGTCGCGTACCACCTGCCAGGTGCCAATGTACCACAAGTGGTACCCGTACCACTGGTTGAAAAGCCCTGGTCTGAGGGACCATCTTTTGCCAGTCACATCTACCTGGCCCACTAGAGTGGGCCGGCATTAGTTGTGGGTCCCGACCACTAAGGAAATACATCTGGCAGGACCAAGAAGGGCCTTCTTCATGGTGGCTCCCTCCTTCTGGAACACCATCCCTGCGAAAACTAGACTGGCCCCCATTCTAACACTCTTTTGGAAGGCCCTGAAGACGAGGTTCTGCCAGTGAGCCTGGGAAACCCAGAGCAGGATGGAGCCCATTAAATGGCTGGTATGAGGATGTGTTGTCGCCAGGGTAAGGGGTTATTTTATTTTTTTAATTATTTTTCTTTTATATTCTCCTTTTATTTCACTTGTAAGCTGCTTTGAGTCGCCGTGTGTGAATAAGACGCAATATAAATTTTCCAAATAAAATAAAATCTTACCTTGTTTTTTTTTTTTTTTTTTTTTTTTTTTTGTAGAGAGGCACCCAGTCAATGTGAGATTAAGCTTTCCTACAGAGGCTGCCTCATGGCAATGTCTTGCTATTCTGCAGGCAAGTATTGTTCTCATGATCCTGTAGGGAGCTCTGCCTTCTTAAGGATTTTCCATAAATAAAAGGAGCCTAGCATGTGGTTCTCATGAGGCGACCTCTGTAGTAAAGCTGAGCCTGTGATTGCATCAGCCAGGCACTTCTCTGCAAAAAACAGAAAGGCAAGTTGAGTGCTGCTGGGTGCTGGAGCTGACCAAACAGCCTAAATCCTATAAGACCCTGGGTAGTACAACCTGTAATAGTCCTCTGTACGTCAGTAGTTTCTGCTGCCAGTTTTAGGACCCCTTGGGTAGCTGGGTGGGAAGCAGGCTTCAGCTGTGGGGCTATAATGCCATATTTGCTTAAAATATAATGCCATGTTTGCTTAAAAATATATGAGGGAATTGACGTAGTTCTAGCTGTACTGGACTGCCATTTCCCCCATCAGGTAATGCATTCACCTGTTGCCGCTGTTTCTTCTTGTCTGCCTTCCTCCTCCTTCAACCTTGGATGTTCCTCTTCAAAATTGTCCAGTCCATTTTTTTTCTTTTCATCCAGCCAGCCATCAAAATTAACATCATTTGCTAGTTTCATTACTGGTTTACCTGATTTGCTGCCTTCTACAATTACGATTTTCCTCATGTCATCTAGCAACTCTCTGAGTGAGCTATACCCATAATGAGAGAATTGGGGATGAAAATGATGGATTTCATAAAAAGCTCCAATGAAGTCCCCAAATCTGATACCATTTGGGTAGTTGATTAGTACTTGCAATATATTGCACTTTAAGATCCAAGGGTCCTTCAGCTCCAAGTCCATCAGTACCTAAAGCCAAATTAACATATCAAAAACATCAACACTGTTTTATATCACCTGGGGACTTATCATACCTTGTTCTAAAAACAATGAATGTACTCTCACCAACCAAATCTCCTCTAGGAATATCATAACTGTGTAACTCGCCAAATTCCCAACCAGCACAGGAATGAAGAAACAAATCAGCTACCTCTGAAGGTAGTTGACTGAAAAGCAGGAAATCAGTGAAGAGTAAACAGTAGTAGACTAAATGCCACCAGCTAGTTCTCTCACTGATTGTTTACCGATCATAACAAGATGTAGCTTGTTTAATTATGGCTTAGTAGAACATGTGATCTGAACTGTTTTATTCCAGCAAACATGGGCAAAACATAATATATAACCACAATCTATTGTTCTGAAATGAAAACATGCTAGGGTGTGGAGAATGCTCAGAAAATAATTTAGAGTCAGTAGTAGTTAAGGCACCAAGCTAGAAACCAGGAAAGTATGAATTCTAGTATTGCCTTAAGCATGAAAGCCTTTGAGCCAACCAACTTACTTCAGAGTTGTTGTGGGAAAAATAGGAGGAAGAAGAGTATTAACTATGTTTGCTGCCTTGAGTTATTTATCAAAAATAATAAAAGTGGGGAAAAATATACAGGTAGTTCTCGACTTATGACTACTCACTTAGCAACCATTCAAAGTTACAATGGGCTTCGCCAAAAAGTATTTACGACCCAGTTCTGAAATTCCAACAGTCACCACCTCCACCATTCTGTCACATTTATGGCTGTTTCTAGCATTCCAGTTATGGAACTGCAATTTACAACATTTTTGCTGAGAATCAGAAGTAAATGCCAGTTGTCAGCAAAAATATTCCATAGTGCAGGGGTCCCCAACCTTCGGTCCCTGGACCAGCACCAGCCCATGGCATACCAGCAACCAGGCCACACAAACAAACAAAGCCCCATCAGTGAAATGCAGGCAGCATATAAAATCACGCCCCCTCCGGTTCATGGAAAACATTTGTCGATGGTACAGGTCGCTGGTGCCCAAAACGTTGGGGGCTGCTGTAGTGAATAATGAGTTTGCTTAACAAAAAAAAACCCAGGTTGGGGCCTGTAGAGCATTCCACAAGGGCAACCATCGAAAGGGCATTTTCTAGGTCCCATAAAATGACAAGATTTGAAAGAAGGAATATGGAGCAAGCTCTCCCTGTGAAAGATATAGAGCAGGGGTGTCAAACTGCTGGCCCATGGGCCGGTTGCATCATGCAGAGGCTGTGTCCACCACAGCTCCGGCAATGTGAAAAAGGTCACAATAAGTAGGAACACATCACATGAGGCAGCAAGTTTGACACCCATGATTTAGGGCAGTGATGGAGAACCTTTTAGAGACTGAGTGCCCACCCACCCCCCGCCCCCCACACCCTCCCTGCCCTGTGGGCCACCCACCGTCTCCATGACCTGCCACAGATTGCCCAGGTGGCTCAGGAGCACCATGGTGGCCATGCCTTCTGCCCGTTCCCTGCAGGATCATCTGCATGTGATGGGGCGTGAGGGCGGTGTCTGTCCCCACTGCCCAGCTGCCATGTCCTTGGCTGCACTGTTCCGCATGGGCCGCACCCAGGGGCAACTCTCCTCTAAGAGGGGACCATGAGAGGAGGTGGGGCTGGGGCGACAGCGCGCATGCCCAGAGAGAGGGCTCTGAGTGCCGCCTCTGGCACACGTCATAGGTTCGTCACCACTGATATAGGGTGAGCAGATGTTCTTGGGAGAAAGCTATCCCTCAAGCAGCGGTGGGATTCAGCCAGCTCCCACCACTTCGGCAAAACCAGCAACTAATTTTTTGTTGCCCAAGCCCAGAACTGACTTCCAGAAGCGGCATCAACACAGAGAACCAGATGTTCACATATTTGAATCCCACCATTGCCCTCAAATAACCCAGTCCTATGTCATTTAAGGCTTTAAAGGTGATAACCAGCACCATGAATTGCACCTGGAAGCCTATCAGAGAAATGATGCACCCTAACAACCCAGTGCCATTTCATTCTGGACTAACTGAATTTTTCATATAGTTTTCAAGAGTGGCCATTTATATTATTTAGGTGAACCTGAGGATACAGATAAATGTGCATGTGTCCTCAATGACTCTCAGAAAGAGGGCTAACAACCAAAGGACTGCAAGGAATATAAATCATTCCATTTTCCACCATTTAGCCAGAACTGAAGAAGTTTCTTGAATGAGAAGCGAAATGTCTTCAAGAAAAAGCACCTTTGGGACAAGCATAATCTGGATGACTCAGAATCTCCATAATGATCACAATTTCTATTGCTAAGCAATACAATTAAATGAATTGTGCCCAATTTTACGACTTTTGCCATGTTGTTAAGCAAATCATTAGTTGTTAAGGGAATCATGTGGTTATTAAGCAAATCCAGCTTGACCCATTGACTTTGCTGGTTGAAAGCTAGCTGGGGCAGTTGTAAATGGTATTCATATAATACCAGAGATGCTGAACCATTGTAAATGGAGCACCCAAACACCCACATTTTGATCATGTGATTTTTGAGAATGCTGTGATGGTTGTAATAAGGACCATGTATAAGCCATTTTTTTCAATGCAATTTTGAATGGTTGCTAAATAAATGATTTTAATCAAAGACTACCTGTACGTAGCTACCTGTACTACCACCCATTAGATGCTAGTAAAGCATAAGTGACTATGAGCAGGGCCTTGAAGTCCAGGAATAGGTGCAACTGACCCATGCAACTGAGCAGCAGCTGAGGCTAGGCCAGGGGTAGGCAATCTTGGCTCTTTTATGACTCGTGGACTTCAACTCCCAGCATGGCTGGCTCAGGAATTTTGGGAGTTGAAGTCCACAAATCATAAAAGGGCCAAGGTTGCCTATCCCAGGGCTAGGAGAACCCCCAGAATGCATAATAAGTCTGAATAAGATAGACATCCCATTCAGAACCAAAGACAGAAACCCTCCTACTACCATGGAGGACCCAAAACCCATAACTACTTAGTTTTGGCAAGGTTTGACTACAACCTGTTCTTCCGTGTTCAAACTTTGAATTTTAGAAGTCTTTAGAATTTATTTCTGGGCAAGTTTACATAGCAATCATGGCTAAACTACAATTCTGTAGATAGTTTCATGACTCTTTGTCATGTTGGGAGGAAAATTGTCTATCAGTAATATAACAAATCACATATTGATAATTAAATAACTTTTTATCCTTACTTTATCCTTATCCTAAGGACTAGGGCTCCTTACTGAGGTTTATTTCAGAACAGAACCTAAAATCCATATTAAACCATGTCTTAATTATGATTTATCAAAAAAATTCCCAAGCAACGTACTACGGGTAAAACAAACAGCTTACCACACTGAATGGGATTACACAAGGCATAAAGCACATGTTGGTTTAGCATATGAATGCAGCCCGAAACATTTACTACGAGCCATCCTGGACAGAGGCAATGTCATTATTAAAATAATTACATTTATATAATGCCTTACAAATTCGAGTTGAAGTGTAGGGAGTAAAAACGGAAGGAACAGCAACTGACCCTCTTTTATCAGTATACACTGCTAGAGGAAGGGGAAAAATTGCAAATGGAGACTTCTCGGATAAAGTTGAAACCGAGAAACAGGCACCCTCAAAACTTTCTCGGGGGAAAAAAAACAAGTGGTAGTCAGAAGCCTTGATAATAGTCCCCAACAAAATCTTTCTCCGGAAGGGCTTTAATGTCAATACATTCAGTCTTTGATTCCTAGCTACGGCCTGGACTAGAAAAATGGCTTACCATTGCCTGCGTCCTGGGATCGAGAGTGAGTGACCGGCACAAGACTCCTGGTCTCCCGCTTTCTAACCTGATGCTTTAACTATTACATCAGACTGGCTCTTGTATCAGGCTTTAGCTATGGATTTGCCACAAAATACATATTTTCCAGTTTAAAAAAAACAAAACCAGGAGCCCGGTAGCACCTTCTCCGACAAACAAACTTCATTCGAAGATATACATTTTTCGCTATTCAGACTCTCTCAGAACTTTTGTATTAACTACCTTCAACTAGACTTAGAAGTGGCAGAAAAATGGGGAGGGCGGGAGAGGGGGTGAATTTATTCCAAAGAGTCAGTATGAGTATACTGAGACGAAGAAGCGATCAATCTTTTTCGATCCTTACCTAAGTTAAGCCCTTTCTTCTGAAGGGGGTCAGAGGAAGCTGAAAAAAAAGAAAGAAAACAGAGTTTAGCAGCCTTAAGAAAAAAACGCGCCCTAACCCTTTCCTCTCGTTTCGTCATGTGATCCCAAAGCAGAAGCACGTGACCAAGTTCGGCCTCCTCCCCGAAGAAAGAGAATTTGCCGTGAGTGGGCGGTTCTTAGTCACATGGAAATGTTAAAACCACAATCAGAGCCTTGAGATGGGGGGAAAAAAAAGCTTGGAACACACAAGGAATTCGGAGCAGCGTGAGGCATTGTATGTTACAAAAATTCGAACGGTTGGCTGCAAAAAGAGATAGCAAACTCGCTTCGTTGCTATTCAAGAGTTGACCGAAGTTTTATATCCCGAAATTTTCCACTGTCGTTTTGGAGAAGGAATTGAGGAATTGCTGGCTAGGTTCACATTTTGAGTTAAACTGAGTCACCTACGATTCTTTCGATTTTGCTTTATTGTGAAGCCAGCTTTTGTGGGTTGTAAACTGTGACTTAAGGCTGAATTCCTTAGGCACCATTTGAGTTTGCTCAATCAAGGGATGTTTCTGCGCAATTTATGAATGCTGATGCCCATGCCCCATGTAAATATTTGAAATCATGTTATAAGTGATTAAAACTACATATTAATATTCAGCACAGGGGATTGCAAATGACAAAAAAACTTAAGCAGTTAGAATAGAACTGGAAATAACCTTGGAGGTCTTCTAGTCCAGCTCCCTGCTCAAGCAGGAGAACCTATACCAGTGATGACAAACCTTTTAAAGACTGAGTGTCTAAACTGCAATCCAAAACCCACTTATGTATCTTTGGGTGCCGGGTGGGCATGGACCATTTGGTGGGTGTGGTCAATTGGGTAGGTGTGGCTCATGGGTGGGCATGGCTGCAGTGGTAATGGCAGATTGGGTGGGACTAAAAAGTTCAATCAATCCCAACTTTGTAAGATTTTTTTTTCCCCCTGGGAGAAGTTGAAGTTGATTGATGAACCTTTTTGGGTTTTTTGCACATTGGGGCAGAGTCTTCACACGAAAAAATTTTATAAAACCCAGCTGAAGGCCTAGGAGTGGGGCAACGGCCTACAGAGAGGGCGCTGCATGCCGCCTCTAGCACCCGTGCCATAGGTTTGCCACCATGGATCTATACTATTTTAGGCAAGTGACTGTTTAGTCTCTTCTTAAAAATACCAGTGATGGAGTGCCCATGATTTCTGGAGTAAGCTGTTCCACTGGTTAATTGTCCTCATTGTTAGGAAGTTTCTCCTTAATTCCAGGTTGCTTCTCTCTTTGGTCAGTAGTGCTTTGGAGAATAGTTTGACACCGTCTTCTTTGTGGCAGCCCCTCAAATACTGGAATACTGCTGTCACCTGTGTTTCTTCTTTTCTTTAGACTAGCCAAACCCAAGTCCTACAGCCGTTCTTCATCAGTTTAAGTGCCAGGCCTTGGATCATCTCTGAACTTTTTCCAAAGTTAGTATTGGCTGTAAGAACAAATTAATGTTCTTTATAAATACTGATATAAGTAAAAATATAAACAATAAGAAATGACTGCTCTGTACTGCTACTCCCTCCAAACCAGGAGCGCACAAAAAGTTTTCATTGATCATTTAAAATTTGGTGCAACTTGTGGAGCTCTCTGAATATTCATAACTCGGGCTTTCCAAGAGTATATATAGGCCAGAATCACATGATAAATCCAATCCATGTATTAGTCATCTTGTATATATAGGTCTTGCCATCCTTTATGTGAATGAGGAACCAAACCTTGATTACAAAAATAATTGATCTTGAGCTGAATACCAATTCAGAGGCAACAAAGAAATATAGAAAATTATTACATAACTCTTTGTGATATTCACAAAATTGTAGCCCAAATATGATAGTGAAAATTGTGGGAATCCCAATCTGTTCTTCCCAATCATCACTGTTAATAAAATTGTGTTTACTGCAGGCATTGGCTGAATTTGAGGGGTCATTAGTGCTCTTAGAGCTTGGTTGTTTTTTTCAGATGTTTCATTATCCCAAATTAGGTAACATCATCAGCACTCTTGGCTGATTTTATACAACACATAGATGGTGCAATTGGTACTTTATGGAACAGGAACATGATGCAAACCCAGGTAGCAGAGCTAGTTTAAAGTTCCGTGCACTGTGCAAATCCAGTGGACTAGGCTAATGAAAGAATTTGCAGACACAATAGACTATTCTGTAATTGATTAACTTATTTCTAAATCAAACTTTATGATTTAGAATCCTATAGCTTATAGAGAGACAATACAGGTTCAACTTAACAACTATTGATTTAAAGTTATAATAGCACTGCAAAAGTGACTTACAACCAGACCTCACACTTATAACTGTCACAATATCATTCCCAGTCATGTAATCCGAATTTTATTGCTTGACATCTGGCATGTATTTGAAATGTTTACGGTGTCCTGGAGTCATATGATCACCATTTACAATCTTCCCAGCCTGCTTCTGGCAAACAAAGTCAATAGGGAAAGCTGGATTAACTTTAAAGACTGAATGATTCGCTGAACAACTGCAATGACTCCCTTAACAACTGTGGTAAAAAGATAATAAATTAGGCATGAGTCATTTAACTACTTTGCTTAACAACAAAATTCTGATCTCAATTGTGGTTGTAAATCAAGGACTACCTATAGCCACTGCTGTAGTGGTAGAAATGGGATTGAAACATTTACTGCTTAAATTGGCCACTGGGTGGCAACAGGAGGAATAACAGCAATAAGCCAGTTTTGTATTTAGTATAAGTAGACTACTTTTGAGCTCTCCGTTGAAATTATTTATATTTTTCCTGTAGCAGTCAGGTTTTAGTGTAAGTAAATTAGAATCTGGAAATGTATTATAGCAAAAGGTTTCAAATATTAAGTTAGATAAAGCTTATTAGAAGATATACTCCTATTCTCAGCCCACTAGCCATATACGTGGTCCTCAACTTACAACCACAGTTGCAATTTCTGTTGTGATTGCCAGGTGAGTCATGTCACTGGGCCCAATTTTACAATATATTTTGCCGGTCCTTAAGCAAATCTGGTTTCCTCCATTGACTTTACTCATCAGAAGCTGCCTTGAAGTTTGTAAATGGCAATCTTGGATGCTGCGATTTTTATAACTGCATGCCAGTCACCAAGAGCCTGAATTGCGATCATGTGACCACAGGGATCCCATGATTGTTATATCATAACTCACTTTTTTCAGTGCCATGGCACATTCAAATGGTTATTAAGCAAATGGCTGTAAGTTGAGGACTGTCTGTATTTTGAGTTTTCACCACAGGTTTATCTATGATTAACTTGCCTATTACAGAGAGTCCTCAATTTACAACCATTTGTTTAACCACTGTTCAATGTTACAATGACACTGAAAATAGTGATTTATGACCATTTTTTACACTTTTGACTGTTGCACCATAGCAATAGTCATGTGATCAGAATTTGGGTGCTTGGCAACTGGCATGTGGTGCAAAGATTGTGGTGTCCTGGGGTCATGTGATCACCATTTGCGACCTTCCTCCAGCTAACTTCCTGTAAGCAAAGTCAAGGTGGAAGCTAGTTTTATTTACCAACAGCATGATTCACTTAACAACTGTGGCAAAAATAGATGGTAAAATGGGGCAAAATTCACTCAACAACTATTTCATTTAATAAGAGGAATTTTAGGCTCAATTGTGCCATAAATCGAGGAATACCTGTATTCAACTGATCCAATTTTCTGAGTTTGCACAGTTGTCCCCACTCACGATGGGGTTCTTCCCTGGAGTGCTTAATTACAATTGAACACATTGATATGGAGATTTGATTCACATTTGATTTATGGAAAAAGGAGATGGGGGGTTCCCTCAAAGCCTGTATACCTATCTCTCAGATATTGAGGGGTTTTGTATCATGTTTCCCCTAAAATTAGACACGGTCTTATATTTTTTTGGCTCCAAAAAACGCATTAAGGTTTATTTTCAGGGAAACATGGTATAAGGCTGATCAGCTCCCTAGTACACACACAAGAGGCAGCGAGTGCGCGGGGACCAACAATGTCCAACCAGAGCCCCCTTGGCTGGCGCACTCTGAGGCTGGTGAGTTGATTACCTGTCCAAGCAGCAGCTGGAAGCAGACACACGGGGGAAGGCAAGTAATGTGGATATGCTGCGCAACCACCTGGCTCATGGGAAGCTCACGCAGCAGCAGGTAGAGGCAGAGTCACGGGAGAGGCAGGTGATCCCAATGCACTGCGTGGCTGCCTGCCCTGTCACGGTTGCAAGTAAGCAGAGAGACGGTGGGACGGAGTAGGTGGAGCATCCAGATCACCTACCTCCTCTCATGCCTCTGCCTGTTGTCGGTGCCACCATGCAAATCTCCCATAAACCTTCTGCAAACCAGATGGCCACGCAGCACATCTGGATCACCTGCCTCCCCCCATGCCTCTGTCTCTGCCTGCTGCTGATGCCACTGTGCAAGCCTTCCACGAGCCAGGCGGCCACATAGTGCATCCAAATTACCTCCCTCCCTCCATGTCTCTACCTCCGCCTGCTGCAAGTGGCCACTCACCCACTCCGTTGAACCGTCTCTTGGCTTGCCAGCAACCACACCAGGGCAGGCAGCTGTGCGGCCTGTCAGAATCACCTGCTTCTCCCCCATCTCTGCCTCCATTTGCTACTGGTGCGCCTCTGCTTGGAGGGGCTGCCTGGGGTAACAGCATTTGGTGTTGCACAGGCTATGGCTGCTGCCAGATACCATTGGCCCCTGTGCGTTCACCATCTTCTGTGCTGGCCACACCCACTCACCCTTGGGCTTATTTTTGGGGTAGGACTTATATTAGATGCATGCTAAAAATTCAGGCTAGGGCTTATTTTCGGAGAAACGTGGTAGGTTAAAAACCATAAACTCTTTACATCACAAGTTCTTACATTCAATTGCTGTCTTAGCATAATTGCTTTTATACTTCCCATCAAACTTTTCACAGATATCAGCAAAAAGCATGAAATACATGTTCAT